TAGTAATTCATCCCCCATATTAATTATCCCCCATATAGTAATTCATCCCCCATATAGTAATTCATCCCCCATATAGTAATTAATCCCCCATAGTAATTCATCCCCCATATAGTAATTCATCCCCCCTATAGTAATTCATTCCCCATATTAATTCATCCCCCATATTAAGTTCCCAAGTCCCCCCTGTGTCAATTCACTTACCTTTGCTCCGCGCGTTCCTCTTGTTCCCACGCCGTTCGGTGTAGCATGAAAATCTGTCTCCTATGAGGATCTGTCCCCCTCGACGTATCTGTGCATGTGCCAGTTTCAGGCATTAGCAGCCGATCGGGCGATCTCCGGCACATGCGCAGATACGTCAAGGGGGGACAGATCCTCATAGGAAACAGGGCGGACTGTGAGAGGAGCTAGCAGAAGCCTAGCTCCGTGGACCGGATTAAAAGGTCCGCCGGGCCGTATACGGCCCGCGGGCCGTAGTTTGCCCATTGCTGGGCTAGACAATGGTTAAGACCCACTGAGGATCGATACTCAAGAGCCTGGAGGACTTTATGTTGTATTCCCTGAAGTAAATAAAATTTCACAAGAGCTACAGCAGGTGCCAGTTATATTCATTCATTCATTCACATATGTTGGAGCTGACAAGAGCTTTACGTTGCACCACACTTGCAGACATGGAAACCTGACAGAGCTGCTTTGAGCATCACCTTTGTTATAAAGAGAGCCTGGTATTAAGAGCCCATCCACTATTGCTATACTTGGAGCCTTGTGAATACCCAATTGGGGACAATTATCTGTGATTTACTGGTGACTGGAAGGTTTAACCTAGGAGAGCCTGCTGCTGGTCTTCAATACTTATTATAACAAAGCGGTACCTGACCACCTCAATCAGGGTCAATTGTTTCTGGTGAGTGAGAAACTCACTTATTTCTCTGCACATGGTGAAAGCGCACATTTTTTTGGTCTACGGAATTACATATTCATGGGACTGTCCCTATATATATTTTGTTCACCATTTATTACGTCTAATATAGAAATATCGTTTGTTAGATGAATATTATTTTTTTTAGATATTGTTGAGAGTCTCATATCATTGTATTTGGTATAGGACTAATATTTGTTAGATGATGGTTGAGAGTTGACTTGCTCTTATTTTTTGATGCAGAGTGTAGTTCACTTTTTAGGAGCAGCTGTCAACCTTCTATCGCCGGCATATTGCGGGCAGAAATGTATTGTTTGGACACTTAGTCACATAGGCACCACAATATTCCAATTATTTATCGATTCTTGCAGATGGCACCATGACTGCCATTAGGTATCAGGATGCAGTCTTTGGACCCATTGTCAGACCCTACACTGGTGCAGTGGGTCCTGGGTTCCTCCTGGTGCACAACAATGCCTGGCCTCATGTGGTGAGAGAATGCAGGCAGTTCCTGGAGGATGAAGGAATTGAATGTCCCCCATGTTCTCACTTACCTAAATCCAATAGAACACCTCTGGGATATCATGTTTCGATTCATCCGACGCTGCCAGGTTGCACCTCAGACTGTCCAGGAAGAGATTTAATGTTGAGGGAGGATCTATTGTTGCTGGTGGGGTCGATTGTTGCTGGGGGGATCTGCTGTTGTTGTGATGGTCTATTGTTTCTGGCTGCTGGAAGATCTGCTGTTGCTGCTGGGGTCTATTGTCATTGGGGTGGTATTTTGTTGCAGGGATCCATTGTTCTTGGGAGGAGGGATGTATTGCTGCTGTTTACGGGGAATCTACTTTACTGCTTTTCTTGTTATCATTAATAAATTCTATACAAATTACTTGGCACCACAAAATGATTGTTGGTTCTGTATCCTCTAAAAGGGGTGGTATTGGGAGGTGGACAAGGGGTGGAACCAAGGGACAGTGCTCGGAGGTGAGTAGGAGTGGAGACAAGAAGTGACTCAGAAGGGGGAATTCCTGCACCTATTCTGAGAAAAAAGCCCTGTTTATTCCACATGATTTTTTAGATAATTTGACAATGACCTTTCTGCCGAGTACTGTGACACCTGTTCAAGCTACTGATAGGTTGAAGGTGTTTGTAGGTGGCAAAAATCTTGTGGAAGAAAACTAGTTAGGACAGTGTCACCCAGCTTAATATAACGTACAACATAGCTTATACAGTGCAGGGCCAGTATTCTAATTTACAATGCAGTGCAGGGGTCAGGGGTATACTGTACAATATAGGATATACAGTGCAGGGGTCAGGAGCATACTGTACAACATAGAGTATACAATGCAGAGGTCAGGAGTATACTGTATAACATAGTGTATGCGGTTCAGAGATCAGCAATATAATGTATAAGTGAATGCAGTGCATGGGTCAGGACTATGCAAGATACAGCACTTTGCACAGAGTACAATGGTCACTAATGTTGTTTCCCTTTACTGCTAGTCAGTGGGATAAAATATGCCCCAGATTTGGTGTATGAAAGCGGAGCAATAGACTTCTCCCCATTCTAAAATCCTCACTCCTCTTTGCTTCCCCCAACAGTGGGCCCCCAGTGCCCAGTTATCTGTGGGGATGAACAGCCTCCTCTTCTCAGCACTGCTCCAGCACCAGTTCAGTACCCCAGTTCACCCCCTAAGAAGGCAGTGCTCCATTTCCCCCCATGCACAAGCAGAGACTGAACAATGTGCTGAATAGCTTGCATATGAATGAAAAACTATGTGATTTGCATACAAATGAGTGATCACATGTAACAGGGGCAGGGCTTCTGGGCAGAGGTGACAAACAGATTTTAGAGCCCCAGACACAGCCTTTGAGAGACAGCTGAATAAAAAAGGAGACTGTTCCAGCAAATCCAGAACAGTTGGTAAGTATATTCCTTCTACGTGCAGTGTGTTGTCAGGAGCAGGGTGCCAGTGGCCACACATAAACAATAGGATGGAGCCAGGGCCTCTATCTACTAAGTGAGCACCAAGAAGTCACTTAACCTTTAGGAGTTTGTTCCCACTACCAGGCAGCCAGGGTACCAGTGGCTGGAAATATGCTCTAGAGCAGTGGTCGGCAAGCCGCGGCTCGCGAGCCACATGCGGCTCTTTACAAACTTAAATGCGGCTCTTCTGTGTGCCGGGCGCCCGCTCCCCTCCCTCCTCTCGGGCGGCCACCCCAAAAGTCAGGACTCTGCAGCTGTCAGGATGTAGGCGGGGCAGCGTGACGAACTCCTCTCCTCTCACAGTCCGCCCTGAAGACCAGAACGGCGCGGGAACAACGGCGAGAAGAACGCGCGGAGCAAAGGTAAGTGAATTGACACAGGGGGGACTTGGCTTACTACTTGGGGGGGAATAGTACTGTGGGGGATGAAATACTATATGGGGGATGAATTAATAATGACATTACTATAGGGGGGATGAATTACTATGGGGAATGAATTACTATATGGGGGGATGAATTACTATATGGAGGATGAATTACTATATGGGGGATGAATTAATATGGGGGATGAATTAATATGGGGAATGAATTACTATAGGGGGGATGAATTACTATGGGGAATGAATTACTATATGGGGGATGAATTACTATATGGGGGATGAATTAATATATGGGGATTAATTACTATGGGGGGGATGAATTACTATGGGGGGATGAATTACTATATGGGGGATGAATTACTATAGGGGGGATGAATTACTATATGGGGGATTAATTACTATGGGGGATGAATTACTATATGGGGGGATGAATTACTATATGGGGGATGAATTACTATATGGGGGATGAATTACTATATGGGGGATGAATTACTATGGGGGATGAATTACTATATGGGGATGAATTACTATGGGGGATGAATTACTATATGGGGATGAATTACTATATGGGGGATGAATTACTATGGGGGATGAATTACTATATGGGGGATGAATTACTATATGGGGGATGAATTACTATAGGGGGATGAATTACTATATGGGGGATGAATTACTATGGGGGTGAAATTACTATATGGGGGATGAATTACTATATGGGGGATGAATTACTATATGGGGGGGATGAATTACTATATGGGGGATGAATTACTATATGGGGGATGAATTACTATGGGGGATGAATTACTATATGGGGATGAATTACTATGGGGGATGAATTACTATATGGGGGATGAATTACTATATGGGGATGAATTTACTATATGGGGGATGAATTACTATGGGGGATGAATTACTATATGGTGGATGAATTACTATATGGGGGATGAATTACTATATGGGGATGATTACTATATGGGGGATGAATTTATATGGGGGATGAATTAATATGGGGGATGAATTACTATATGGGGGATGAATTACTATATGGGGAATGAATTACTATATGGGGGATGAATTACTATGGGGGATGAATTACTATGGGGGATGAATTACTATATGGGGGATGAAATTACTATGGGGGATGAATTACTATATGGGGGATGTATTTTCAGTTTTAAAAATGTGGCTCTCAAAATAAATTTCAATCGTGGTTTTGGCGAGATTTGGCTCAGTTGAAAAAAAAAGGTTGCCCACCACTGCTCTAGAGGATTCAATATGTGTTTTAGTCAATGGAAATCACTAGGGGGCAGGAGATCAGTTAATATAGGCTGAAACAAATGCCTGGGAAAAAAACGCTCAAATTAAGCATTTTCAGGCAGTCTATGGGGCCAGAAAATGCTCAATTCTGCCTGAAAATTAGCTCATGTACTTTTTGGAGTGGTAGGAATTTAGCTACAAGCAACAGGACACTCAGATGTGAACAAGGGCCATTGAATACAATGTGTTTTTGCTTGCTGAGGATGTTTGAGCTACAAGCTACAAAACTCTCAGGTGTAAACGGGGCCTTGGGGGATGAAGGAGAGCATGACATTACTGCCACCTCTCCATCTCATCCAATTAGAGAACTCTTTGCATTCATTCAGAAAATGCAAAGTATCTTTAGCTTGGGATGTGTGCTGAGTGGCTGTCCTCCTGTGTTCAGAAAGCATAAGACCAGTTGCTCAGCATGTGCAATCATGGAAGCACGTGGGAAGCGCTGGAGTAGCCCCAGATGGGGACCAGACTGTGGCCAGTGGGAGTAGAAAATGTCCCAATGTCAGTGGGAGAAACAATGTACCATCTTTGGTATTGGAGGAATATAAGTGGCCCATCATTGGTGTTAGTGGAAGGAATAGTGTTTCCATCATTGGTGTCAGTGGGAGGAATAGTGCCCCATCAATTATGTCAGTAGAAGGAATAGTGCCTCATCATTGGCATCAATGGGAGAAATAGTGTCCCATCATTGGTGTCAGTGGGAAGAATAGTGCCTCACCATTCATGTGAGTTGGAGGAATAGTGTCCCATCATTGGTGTCAGTGGGAGGAATAGTGCCCCATCATTAATATCAGTGGAAGGAATAGTTCCCCATCATTGGCATCAGAGGGCGGAATAGTTCCCTATAATTGTTATCAGTGGAAGGAATAGTGCTCCATCATTGGTGTCAGTGGGAGGAATAGTACCTTGTATCAGTCGAAGGAATAGTGCCCTATCATTGGTATCAGAAAGAAATAGTGTCCCATTGTTGGTGTGTCAATAGGAGAAATAGTATAATGTATCAGTGGGAGCAATAGTGCCCCAAGGGCCAGATAAAGGTATGCAAAGGGCAACATTCAGCCCCAGGGCCGCAGTTTGGAGAACAAGCTGGACCAATGTAACTATGTAAAAAATATACAGAACCATGCCTGGAATTCTTCTTTAAATTATTCAAAATGTATAATATATTGCACCCAGAATCCCCAGTCTATCCCAGTCCTTCTCGGTAGTTCTGTAGTAGGCCCCAGTCATGTGTCTCTTTGCTGCATAACCTTGCTGAATGAGAGCTATAGAATTAGGCCAGTGAACACATGGCTTGCATTTTCAAAGCCTCAGATTCAGGGGCTATTCAGAAAATTAGGATAGGAATATAGGTACATTCAGCTAAGAAGTGCCAGGATTAAAACTAGAGCCACTCAACATATAGGCTGTGTCCCCTAAATGAGCTTAAATGTTCATGTTTGACTGCAGTGTATCCTTAATACAAACCTTTTTCTTGGGTATAGTGGATTTCCTTACTAGGTCAATGCATAAAAAATGCATTTGCTTGAAAACCAAGAAGCAAATTTTTTTTTATTGGCGAGTGAGATAACTAGCAATATTAATATTTTATGTGGTCATGATGATGATTAACCAAAAACTGTATACTGAGCGGACTAATATAAGAAATGTGGTTAATATGAGACGAAGGAACCATAAATGAAGAATTAAAGTAAAACTACAGGCAAGGCAACATACAAACTCAGTAAATGAATATGTTACTGTGTAGTACGGTCTACTTACTTATACCTATATTTTGTATTTGGCAGTAAAGTAAACCCTAGGTTCCTTATAATGTTAATAAATATTTCTTTTTTTTTTTAAATGACCATCCAAGAAAACATTTGAAGTTTTTGTGATGCCATCTGATTGTTTTGTGCAATATTAGTCTACAGTTTTTGTATTAGAGCTGATGCTGAAAATGTTGTGGTATGCAGTAGCTCAGTATACATGGATTATCTTCACATATTCATGTTTGGATTTTGTTGCCCTCTTGGTGGAAAAAGATAGTTTTTGCAAGAAATGGTTACCTTTTTCTCAGAGCTAGGTGAATTTTTACAGAAGAATCCGGTATGGTTACTTTATACATACTGTCGTTTGTTACATTAGTCCAGCTTGGACCAATGTAACTATGCATATACCATACCTATAGGATACCTCTAGAAGCTGGAAATCACTGTGATAGACATAGCTAATACAGTGATCTCCACCAGCTTCCAAGTTCCACACCAAGTGGCTGCTTGCCCTGTAGCATTCTGAATGCAGGAGGTTGGCCAATCTCCATCACATCCATTCAGAGAATGTTTGTGCTTTTTCTCAAAGAATGCAAAGCATTCTCTGGATGGACGTGATGGAGGATGTGATATCACTGCCCCCATTTCTCCACCTTGTCCCCTAAGAGAATGCTTTTCATTCATTGAGAAAATGCAAAGCATTCCCTGAATGGTAATCATCATGAGTGGCCGACCTCTTGTGTTTCACAATGCAGCTCAGAAGCCACTCAGCACAGGACCTGGAAGCTAGTGGAGATCACAGAAGTAGCAGTATCTACCACAGTGATTTCCACATTCTAAAGGGTTCCCACAGTTATGCTATATTATTATTGTTGTTATTATTATTATACAGTATTTATATAGCACCAACAGTTTGCTCAGCGCTGTACATTATAATGGGAGACAGTACATGAGACAGTACAGTAACAATACGATTCAATACACGAGCTATATGCATAATTAAACATGGTCCAATCTATTGTAACTATGTTAGAAATGCCATACCTGGAATTCTCCTTTAACCCCTTTATGCCGGCACCTCCCAGGCCCTTTAAGAGTTTTCAGAAGCCGGAAGGCGGGGCGGGTTTTAGGGTCATGTGACCCCCCATGATTCGCTGTCACGGTGGTCACATGATCAGAAAAGGTCACGATTGCAAGGAGAGATCGGGACCTTTCCATGAGTCACGGATATATGTGCTGGGAGCGCACAGGGCGTGCCTCTCAGCACATATATATTTTCAATGGTACGCAATATGCGTCCCGCTTGGCGTCAAGGCCCAGTCGCAGAGAGGCCGCATATTTGTGTGCGCACGCATCTAGGGGTTAAGGACAACAACCACTGCAACATTACAGTGGTCAGTGAGCACTCATCTGCTTTGGTTACTAGACCACAGTAGCTAGATCAAAATATTTCCAACACAAGGGTGATAAAACTACTTTAACCTCTTCGCATTGTGTTTGTGGTTTTGCACCTGTGTTTTTTATGCATTTTTTGCCGCATTTTTTATGTGTTTTGCTTTTTCTTTTTTAGTCTTTTTATTTTTCTTGTTGCTAGGCAGATTTAAAATTCAAACGCATCAAAAACATGGCAAAAAATGCATCAAAACGCAACAATACATGCTTTTCTGCAGCATATCCATTGAAGACTACAAAACCAAAAATGCAACTTTTGCATTCAAAAAAAGTCGCAGACCCTTTCCAAACAAACACACCAGGTGGAAACGCGCAGATGTGAACACATGTCCCATAGGAAAATAATGTAAATGGACTGTACTGTCGCGTTTCTGCAAAACACTGCAGAAAACGCTTGGGTGTGAACCTAGGGTTAGTCAGAACCCTGAGCAGTAAGTAAGTTTGTTGACTTTGGTCATTAGATTTCGAGGGCCAGAGTCTGAGGCATTAAAGTGTAAGGCAAAGTTTTTTATTTTTTTACTTTTTGATAAAGTAGAGAAAGGATTAGAACACTTGTCAGCTTTTGTTGCTGTCTGTATCTATAATAGGGAGACTGATACTCAAGATTTATCATGTTTACTGTTGTCATTAAAAGTGAAGGTAAGTGAAAATCACAAATTTTGTGTTGACATCAGAACATTAATAGAGGGGAAATCTTCTAATGGGACACCAGTTCTGGTGACACAGATTTCTATCATGTCCTGTTTTAGCTATGGGACTAAAGCCCACCCGGGTTGAAACGTGTCCATGTCTGTGCATTGTTCCCCTTACCTGGATGGATTTGAAGTAAATAAAGAAGATTTTATGCTGATAACATGCCTTGTTGCTGTGCTTTTCTTGGAAGACTGATGCATATGTGGCTACCTTACAAAATAAAGGGTTGTGGCATCACACTTTCATGTTATAACAGTGGGACAGGACGCTCCCCCCTTGGTCCCCAAAGGTGCCAAACCGATAGCGGGGGACCAGTCCTTAAAGTGGAACTTCCCCTTCTGGGTGGAGCTCCGCTTTTAGATATATTTTTCAGTTCAAGTGCTTGAATGTCAATGCTGAACTTCAAGATAAGCAAATATTGTCTATATACAAAAGGCAATGGATGAGGTGGAGAATGTGATATCACTGACCTGGATCTTGGTTGTTTTGTGTATTTCTTTCAGATCTGTCCCGTAATCCAGTATGAAACGTTGCCTCTGTGCAAGAGCTTCCTGTAATAAAGACCAGTCACTGCTGCTCTCTCTACCTGTGCAGGGTGTCTGGTCTTATCTCCGCCCTTCCTGTATTTTTTTTGTGCAGGCAGCCTGTAGTTGGTGGAGCTTGCTGGGCCACTCTAAGCACAGGTTTTGTACAGCACCGTGAGGATGTCACTGCTACTTTTACAATGTAATATCTGGGTTTTCAAAGGCATTTGGTTCACACAAAAGTTGAATTGCTGTATATACTTTGTAGCTAAAAGTGGGACAGGAAGTGAAGAGAAATTTCCCAGATGTAAAAAAAACTGATAGGAGTTATAACCATAAAAATAAAGCGTTGCCTTTAGTTACACTTCAAGTTCTTATTCAGTTCTGCTAGGAAGTCACCCCTGGCGTGATGTATCCAAAATGGTGAGTAAGGATGTCATCTGAACACCAATATGTAGTTTTGAGATATGCAGTTTTACTTTGGTCATAATAAGCTATGTAACATTTTGGGACCATGACAATCATCAGGACAATTGATCCCTTTTCAGTTTGTGTACGGTGGACACAGGCAGACCCGTGATAGCTCTATGGGAGGCCAGATGTAAACAGATGCTGATGTCCGTTTACATCAGGTTACTTCTGATCTTGGAGGAGTGGGTGTAATCCAGATGTAGGCAACCTTTGGGAGATGGATATCTATCTGGTCAACATGGAAGAGATCGAAGATCTCCGGGGTGTGTAAAACATCACAGGGAGACGTTTCAGAACCTTGCAGCTTCTGTCGGTGCAGTGACTGCTATTGTCCCGCCACTGGCATACTCCTGAACTCTGCACTCTATACATAGCATACTCCTGAACTCTGCACACTGTACATAGCACACTCCTGTACTCTGCACTCTATACATAGGCACTCCTGAACTCTGCACTCTATACATAGTGTACTCCTGAACTCTGCACTCTATACATAGCACACTCCTGAACTCTGCACTCTATATATAGCGTACTCCTGTACTCAGTACATAACACATTTCTGAACTCTGCACTCTATACATATCATACTCCTGAACTCTGCACTCTGTACATAGCACACTCCTGTAATCTGCACTCTATATATAGCGTACTACTGAACTCTGCACTCTGTACATAGCACACTCCTGTACATAGCGTACTCCTGAACTTTGCTCTCTGTATGTTGTGCTCTCCTGAACTCTGCACTCTGCACATAGCGTACTCCTGAACTTTGCACTATGTATGTTGTGCTCTCCTGAACTCTGCACTCTGCACATAGCGTACTCCTGAACTTTGCACTATGTAGTTGCGCTCTCCTGAACTCTGCACTCTGCACATAGCATACTCCTGAACTTTGCACTATGTATGTTGCGCTCTCCTGAACTCTGCACTCTGCACATAGTGTACTCCTGAACTTTGCACTCTGTATGTTGCGCTCTCC